CCCTCTCATTAGTAGAGGATCCGGATCCGATTAAGTACAGCGGGTAGGTGCTGCCGAAATTTTGACGAAATAAAAGTACACTTGAACACACGTAAATACATATACACGCTACGTTTACATACCTAATGGGATAGAAGCCTTCCTCTGACAGCCGATCACACACACTTGTCCTATAACTTAAAATGATATATGTAGGGATATGCTCACTTCCATTAATTTTTAAATTCTAGATGCGGACAATTCCTGACAAATCGTTCATGGGCATACCACGTGATCGAAGGCATCTAGACACTCGATACAAGGATGGGATAGAAGCTTTCTTAGCCTACTCTGACACCAACCCTCTACGGTCACTCAGCGGGTTGATTTTTTGTCCTTGTAAGAATTGTAGGAATGATAAAATGCTCACTAGGAGTGACGTAAGTTTCCATCTGTCAATCAATGGATTTGATAGCTCTTATGTATTTTGGAGTCATCACGGTGAAGGCGTCCCGGTGATGCAATTAGAGGAAGAGTTTACTGATGTCGACAATCCGACAATTGACACAACTGATATGTTGGAAGATATTCTTACCGTGCCGTCTTCGAGTGATGTTAACACTACTGATATGTTTCAAGATGTAGCCCGATTGATGAGACTTGTTGAAGAAAACGAGTCACCGTTATACGAGGGTTGCACCGAGTTCACAAGGCTTTCTTTTATGCTGAGGCTTCTTCATATCCAAACACTCAGTGGGATGGCTGTTACACATTTCGATATGTTATTAGACTTGCTCAGGAAAGTCATTCCAGGCGGCGAGAAGAGCATCCCCACAACTTATTATGAAGCTCACAAGATTGTTGATACCCTGGGTCTTGATTACAAAAAGATAGACGCCTGTCCTAATGACTGCATCTTGTACAATAAGGGTAATGAAGGTCTAGAGGAATGTCCGACGTGTCATGTATCACGCTGGAAAAAACATACGGGCACATCTGAAGGCATATCATCCAATAAACAGAGCAGAATCCCTGTGAAGGTTCTCCGATATTTTCCTATTATTCCTAGGCTGCAGAGGTTTTATATGTCTGCCGAGCTGGCTGAGAATATGCGATGGCATTCGACCGATCGTAAAGAGGACGGGAAATTGAGACATCCTGCTGATGGTGAGGCATGGAAGCACATCGATCGTATATACCCTGACTTTGGTAAGGAGTCTCGGAATATTAGGCTGGGGCTTGCTAGCGACGGATTTAATCCGTTTGGAGTAATGAGCTCTGCTTGGTCTACCTGGCCAGTGTTGCTGACACCGTACAACCTGCCGCCGTCGATGTGCATGAAGCAGCCATACATGATACTGTCACTCTTGATCCCTGGAAGATATTCTCCTGGAAATGACATTGATGTTTTCCTCCAACCATTAATTGACGACTTGAAGCTTCTCTGGGATGAAGGCGTCAGCACTTACGATGCTTATGGTAAGGAGGCTTTCCGTATGCGTGCAATGGTCATGTGGACAATTAATGACTTTCCAGCATATGCTAACTTGTCTGGATGGTCGACGAAGGGTCAGATTGCTTGTCCGGTTTGCATGTCAGATTATGAGGGAAAGTTCCTGAAATACAGCCGCAAGTTCTGTTATTGGCAACACAGAAGATGGTTACCTACAGGGCACAAGTTCAGAAAGTTAGTAGGAAAGTTCGACGGCAATCCAGAAAACAGACCGGCACCACCAAGGCTGACCGGGGAAGAAATATTTGAGCTTCTACATCCTCTACCTAAAAAAATATTTGGAAAGAAAAGATTCAACAAAGAAAATCCATTTGGGGTTAGGAGAAAAATATTGAAGCAAAATTGGAAGGGAAGGGGAAAGGGTAAGCAAACAAGGATGGGAAATAAACCTCGCACTGTCCAATCGCATGTGCGTGTCTCTAAGGGTACTGAACTTCCGCATGGATGGTCAAAATTCAGCATATTTTATCAATTGCCATATTGGAGAAGTTTAAAAATACGTCACAACTTGGATGTCATGCACATCGAGAAGAACATATGCGAGAATCTCTTGAACACTTTGTTGCAGGACGGGAAAAAATCAAAAGATGACTTAAGGGCACGTCGAGACCTAGCAGAATTGAACATCCGTCCCGAACTGCAAGCTATAGATAAGGGTGACGGAAAGTTTGTACTCCCAGCCTCCCGTGTCACACTGTCGAAGGATGAGATCCATAATATGTGTTTATTTCTAAAGTCCGTGAAGACACCGGATGGTTATGCTTCAAACATTTCAGCAAATGTGCATATTGAGGACAGGAAAATTTTGGGACTCAAGACACATGACCATCATATTCTATTGCATCAACTTCTCCCGGTTGCGTTGCGACATGCTGAGAAGGAACTCGCGATGGTGGTAATAGAATATTGCGGTTTCTTCAAGCAGTTGTGCTCCAAGGTGATTGATGTCAGGGAGTTTGAAGAATTAGAGGGACGTGTAGCCAATACACTGTGTAAAATGGAAATTCTATTTCCACCCTCGTTCTTTACGGTCATGGTGCATCTCACAATACATTTAGCATATGAAGCCCGCATCGCAGGACCAGTTCAATATCGCTGGATGTACCCTGTGGAGAGGTATTTATTATTATAATGCTCAATTAATATTTGTTAAATTACGTATATCAGTTTTATTTTGTCACAAATCATGAAACTATATGCTTGTAGGTATTTGGGTTTCATGAAACATTTGATGCATAATCGTGCACGTCCTGAAGGATCGATAGCAGAGAACTATATAAGTAATGAGAGTTTGAATTTCATCTCTCGTTACTTGCGGGGTGTGGAGACAAGGCTCAACCGTCCCCAACGAATAATTGACGGAACATTCTATAATGATCGTGGGGAGGACACTAGATTCCCCAGAATGGAGCTAGATCAAGCCCACACATATATCTTGAGTAATGATACTACATTTAACATATACGCGGCGTAAGTATTTAACTGTTTGAATCAGATCATATCACATCACAATAACTATCTCTATTTAACTGTTGTAAATGATTTTATTCTAGGCTTCACATCCGATATGTCCAGACTATTCTTAAATGCAGAACAAAAAACAAAAGAGTTATGGACACACACTCTAGACAATTCCCTGCATGGCTGAAGGGTGAAGTAAGATTTATTTACATTTCTGATTCGTATATCAAATATGTGCCTGACAACAGATATTTAAACTATTTGTTTCTTTTCTTAAAGGTTGACCGACGTATTACGAATGGGGTTAACCTGCCTGAGAAAATATGTTTATATGCCAGAGGTCCTTCTAACGTGGTAAAGCGTTATGGAGGCTACTGTATCAACGGCTTTAGGTTTAACACCATCGGTTTCGAAGAGAGACGACAAACGCAAAATAGCGGTGTGTTCTGCTCCTTCTCGCAACTGTCATACGCTAGTTCAAAAGATCTAAATCCGATACAAGGTGAAATCTATTGCTACGGTCAGGTAGAAGACATTGTGGAGATTTTCTATGGGATTAATAATGAAGTCAGACATGTGATGTTTAAGGTTCGTTGGAGTGAGCTGAAAAAGGCGAAGGATGACTACGGTTACACACTCGTTAATCTTAACAAGGAAATATATCAGACTGAAAAGTACATGTTAGCTGCTCACGCAAAACAGTGCTTTTATGTCAAAGATATAATGAAAAATGACGAATGGGTTGTCCTTAAGAATCCGCCTAGATCCTACATTCATGAAGCCGTGTCTGATGAAGATCATGAAGATGTTATCTTGGCCGACGAAACAGTTGCTGAGTTTTCCTTGACACAAAATAATCTGGTGGATGAAATTGCACTGGCGCGCCCTGATGTACCTGCGATTATATGTGAGCCAAGGCGTAAAATCAAAAAACGAGTCCACGGTAGAGTCGATAAAACTATAAGGACAGTCCTTTTGTCTGCACGCACACGGTCGCAGGCTAACCGCACACGGTCGCAGAGTAGAGCCTCAACATCATCATAATAATATAATGCTTGGTTATGATTTAAAAAGAACATTCATGTATCTGTTTGACTGGTTAACATGTATCAGTTTGTGTTATGTATTATAGTATTGCCTTTATATTATCTGTTTGACTGGTTATCATGTATCAGTTTTTGTCATGTATTATAGTATTGTCTTTATATTATCTGTTTGACTGGTTATCATGTATCAGTTTGTGTCATGTATTATAGTATTGCCTTTATATTATCTGTTTGACTGGTTATCATGTATCAGTTTTTGTCATGTATTATAGTTTTGTTGGGTACTCATTATGTTTTCAAAGTATAGATGACAAAAGGATTACGTAAGAGAGCGCTTGAGAGACTTATTGGTAGACATTCTGGAGGCGACGCACATGGCTCTACGTCAGGTATTTTTATTTATTTATTATATCTGTACATTTCTATAAACTATTAATACGAGCCTAACATTATTTTTTCACATTTCCTACGCAGGCCGCATCGCTGCTACACATGACGGGCCGCCACAGGACACAGGACGAGGAGATGCTCCACCTGATGCGGAGACACTCGTTGATCCTGCCCAGCATGCAGAGATGCCGCCGTCGCCTCCTCAGGCTGCAGATGTATTGGAGGAGCGCCGATATGAGCCATATAGCGCAGCTGTAGAAGCTGCGCCACTACCGCCGGATTCTATTCCGGATCAGCGAGCCCACGACCCGGCCAAGGTGAAGGAGGATTGGGATGCTTATCATGATTTGCGACTTATCGCACAGCAGAGGTATGAACAAGCAAGGCGTAGATGCCTCGAATTGAAAGGTGTGTATAGATTTTTATAGTTTATATGTTAATATTTTAATTTGTATTATCGATATTGATTGATTTATATTTCGCCTGAATTTCATTTTTTCGTAGGTACCGAGCGACCTACTAGGCGCGGCCGCAGTAGTACCAAGCCACAGAACCTCGTCCCAGATATTCGTCGGAGGGCCGTGATCCGATGGGAGAACGGCGTGCCTGTCGGGCCATTTGCTAACTCTTTCAACAATTTCCTCGCCGCTTTAGCCAGGAGACATGATTTCTTCAACATATATTTGACGTGGAAGTCGCAGCGGATTGATGCGCTGGTGGCTTGTTGGCGATATATATGTGTGAGTCATTTATTTTAATTCTCATAATTATTAGTCATTTTATTATTTTGTTTAACACACTGATTTGTATCTCTTTTTTCATTGTATGCTGAAGCGATTTTTCTTTCTTGACGATTACGCTTGTGCCTGGACTTACTGCTTCACGCAAATCAATCTATCGTTCAAGAGGTGGCGGTCAGAGCTGAAGAAAAAATATTTTACTCAAAGAACAGAAGATTGGGAGCGTTACTGGCATCTTGACGAGCGCGCCGATGGAGTTGATTTTTTTGCACTTTGCGATTATTGGGACACGGCCGAAGCTCAGGTATTATTGAAGTATATATCTTCGTTTATTGTTTGAAATTCTATATTATATCTGTTTAACATTCTTTTGCAGGAACAAGCTGAAATAGCAAGGAGGAACCGCAATGCGCCCCGCAGTTACGAGCATCACGGGGGCTCCAGGTCCTTCAGCCAGCATTATCATCAATTGGCGCTTGAGGTATATAATATATTAGCTCTTAGGTTATCAATTTGAGTATAATTTATGTGTTATGAGTTAATGATATATGTGAATAAAATAGGGAAGGGGAGAACTCGGGCATTTTGCAGATCGTATTCTGACTGGTTGGAGACCAAATTACGCCGATGAAGTGAAGAAAGCGCAGAACCGGGATCTGGCTGTAAGTAGCAGTTAATTTGTATATTTAATTTTTATAACAATGCATTTTAAATGTGTTAGAATTGACCGGGTTGTTTTGGTATATCGTAGGAGAAATTACATGCTAAGGTGCAGGAGCAATTATCACAGACTCAGGTCGATTCTAACACTCCGACCCGATTAAGTAGAGAGGAGGAGGATAGCATCATCGAGACGGTCATTGGACCGAGTAGGAAGAACAGATACAGGTGGAGAGGATCCGAGCATCGGCCGTACGAGTCCAGTAGCACCTACGAGTCTGCAGCTCCACCAGGATGCAGTTCTTCTCAAGACCCGACTATGGAGCAGCGGATGAAAGCGATGGAAGATTGGCAGTCGCGTCGGGAGTCGGAGCTACTCCAGATGGCGGAGGAAGAACGGAGGCGCCGGGAGCAGAGGGAGCTGGAATTCACCCAGTTCATATCGACTCTGCCTTCTGATGCTCAGGAGGCATATAGGAGACGGTTTTTGGCGGATCAGGTAATATATATATATATATGTATATTTCTTTTTTAATTAAATGAATTAAATATAAAATTCTTACTTAGTTACGAGTATGCCATGTGACTAAATGATATCACACAAACTGTTACACACAAACTATATCTCTCTCCGAAACACAACTAAAATTATATACTTAATGTTTTTATGTGATGTTGGTGTTGATGGTGCGTGTGTGCGTAGCGATGGTTGTATTGTCTAGTGAGTTGGTTAGTTGGTTGTTATTTTATTTTTTTGTGGGGCGTTCGTGCGTAGGGTCGTTGGTTATGTTGTTGGTTGGTGGGTGTTTTCGTCGTGGTGGTGGTGGTGGTGGTGATGATGATGGAGGGGGAGGGGGTGGGGGGTAGGAGTTTGGTTGGTTCGTGGGTGGGGGATTGTTATTGTAGTGGTGGTGGTGTTGTTATTGTTGTGTTGTGGTGTTGCATGTGTTGTATTGTCGTGATCGTTATGTGCGTGCTTGATGTTGGGTTTGGTCGTGGTGGGGGAGGGGGAAGTGTGGGGATTGGGTTGAGCTGGGTACTCGTGCGTGCGTGTGTGCGTGTCGGCGGAGATAGGTACGGGTGCGTGCGTTGTTAAAAACATGTGCGTGCTTGCGTATAATACATAAATATATGCCATGATACTCTCTCTGAATCATATAACATGTAAGAATATGCCATGCTACTCTATTATTACTATACTTGCATGTTATGCCTTGTTGTTTTACAATTTGTTACTTTACTGTAAAATTCAGTTTTTGATGATGTACGTATTGCTCTATAACGTTTTATTTATTTTTTTAGGCTGGGACTTCTCGACAAGGTGGAGTTGGTGATGAGGATGAGGATGATGATGATCGGGACTGAGTTTATTTGTTTTAACATTAAAAACAATGGGTGTGCTGTATAAACATTTCTAATGTTGGGATATTTATTATGTTTTTAGTGAAATAATTGTTATATATACGTGAAATATGTGTTATATGTGCTTGTGTTGGGTAAATTTATTGTACAGGTTATTGTTGTGAAATTCTTATTTTCAAAAAATTTTAAAAAAAAATTCAGATTTTGTTTAGCGACGGATATTCCGTCGCTAAAAGCTCTTTTAGCGACGGAAAACTGACACGCCAGATGTGCACTAAATAACTTTTAGCAACGGATTTTCCGTCGCCAATACTTATTGGCGACGGAAAACTATATAGCGACGGATAAGCCATCGCTATATATCCGTCGCCAAAAGTTCATTTTGGCGACGGAAAATCCGTCGCCAAAAAATAATACTTTGGCGACGGATTTTCCGTCGCTATATATCCGTCGCTATAAATTAGCGACGGATTTGCCATCGCTAAAGGTAGATTTACCTACCCTGACAATAGTGACGGAGTTTTAGCGACGGAATTTCTTTTTTTCCGTCGCTAAAACTTTTAGCGACGGATTTTGGACTTTTGGCGACGGATTTTTCCGTCGCCAATAGTCCCCTTTGCAGTAGTGGTTGTTCGTATATTTAAACGCTTGTGGCTTGAATCTGTAGAAAATCGAGAATTTGGGCAAAATTATTAGAACAAAATGAGAAGATTGAAAAACTAAAAGGGGATACGGTGAATTGAGCATAACTAAAGCTTAGATCTAGGGTTTAGTATAGAGGAGTGAAGACGAAGAAGAATGAATCCGCCGTTCATTAAAACTTGGGATCAGATATACCAACTCAATCAAGCTAGCGTATTCCTCTCTCGAATCCTAAATTAAAGTAGTTAATTTCCCAATTCGAACCAAAAAAACCTGTAAATTTAATTCAAAGGTTGAGAAATAAGAAATTGCCTGACCTCAGCGGACGGCGAGGACTTGTTCGCCGCCGAGCAGTGAACAGTTCGAGAAGAAAAGTCGGCTTCTTTCTTCGATTTTGGGGAGGAAGCTGGTATTTTGTGAGTACGGATCGAATTATTAGGGTTAGGAAATGAGGAGATAAGGAAGGAGATTTGAGGAGGAGATAATGCAGCCATGGCTGTTGAGTGAGTGGAAGTTCGTGGGACGGCGAGAAGATTAACAGATGAACTCTTCGGCTTCAGCGGAGAGGAAGGCGCTTAGGTAACGGATGATCTCTTCGGCTTCGGCGGATATAGTAGGAAGGAATAACAGCAGTGGAGATTAAGGCTGAGGGTATATTTAAAATAGTGTAAGGTTAATTTGGGAAGGGGAAAGTTTTTTAGGAACTGGCTCTTTTAAAGGGTAGATAGACTAGTTTTTACACACGTGCAATGCACGTGATTTCATATCATGATTAAGTATTTTTGGCAGTTTGTGCTCATTTTTTTCTTTAAACTCTTACATCCTAATTATTTTTTTTATGTTTGTTTAAATGGGATACACCTAATTTAAATTTTCATGTTGATATTTGAATTGATAAAAAACAAATATAATTTAAAAATAATTTAAATTTTCATATTACTTTTGACCGATATGAAACTAAGCTTTATTTGAGAAAGTATAGCATTGCAAAGTGAAAAATATTAAAATAGTGTTATACAAGGAAGGTGAATATTTAAAACCAATATGGCAAAATGATTGATTTAAAGTATGTTAAAACGATGCAAAAGAGAATATGAAGTTTATTCCTAATCATTGATAGACTTCATAAAAAAATATAAATTAAAGATTAATGCTAACTCTAGTATACTTTTATATGATAAAAACATCCACATAAGAATATAAAAGTACTGAAAAAAATTCATGAAACTCCCTTCTAAAGATTCCTAATTTCACTCAAAATAATTAAACTATCCTATAAAATATTCAGAAAATATTGTTTTTTATTTCTTCAATTTTATTTTTTATTGAGTTAAGATCAATCATTCTTCAGGTTTATCATTTATCATTTCTCGGGCAATTCTAGAGTATTGTCTTCATCATCTACATCAATTGTGACATCAGGCTAATTTTGTATTTTTTATGCTATTATCTTTCCTGGGCTCGTTAATTTTTTATCATCTCATTTAACTTTACAAAGAAGTCAAATGTACTTATGATGTTCAACACAAACTGCTCAAAATATAGACTTTGATTTTTTTTCTATTTCAATGAGAATAAATATTAATTTCATATATATAAAATTCTTTGTGTTCCTAATTTATTACTTAAATAAATTAGAAGCTATCTCTTTATTTTCCTCTAAAATGAATTCTTCTGATGTGCATCCAATAAGAATTTCTGTTATTTCAATAATATTACCTTTGCTCTATCCCTGTCATTTTCCATAAAGATCTAAACTAAATACCTGCATTATTCATTACCAATTTCTCTTAGATTATAATATTAATATTTAATTTGAAGAACACAGTATGGAATTTATGAATACTTACTAATTTTTCTTATGTCTTCCATGGAGATTTTTTCTTTGATTAGGATAAAGTTATTAAATTATTTTTTAATGTAACTCATTCAGTGCTTCATTAATAGATATGTCTTATGTTAATGCCAATTCAAGTGATTCATTGACGTTTTCTGAATTTTAGATTTATTTCCATCACTTTCCCATTTGCAATGGAAATAACTCAATTCTTTTAAAGTTATCTCTAAATATTCTAATAGTTTCTCCATATGTAATTCCTTGTATTCTTTTACCCTATAAATATTATTAACGTCAAAGATTAAAGTTTCTAAATTAAAATCAATTAATGCTAAGGTATAATATTATAGTGTTTTATCATTTCTATGGATTTAAACATCTATCAATTAATGTTACGAATGTATTTTGGCTACCCCAACTTATTACTAAAATTATATGAAATTACTTTAATTTATATAGTGCCGATAATTTTTAATCTATAATATTTTTAAAAAATTTATCCATTAACTGGATGTTTTTAATCAATTCTTATTGTTTTTTTACCAGTATCAACTTAGACTATTCTTAGATGTTGAAAATGGATAGTAAATCCCTAAATTAGAAATTTTAATATATATATATATGAAAAATACCAAACAATTACACTTTTCTTTGCCAAGTTTTAAAATTTTAGCCCATTTTTGTGGTTTTGAACTTTGAGGGTGTGATTTATAATTTTTAAAATTTTGAAAGAGTTTTTAAAAAAATTTACTTTTAAGTTTGGTAGTTGTAAATTCTATGTTTCATGTGTTGGTGGTAATTTTTTAAATGTTAATATATTTCTTGTAACTCTAAAGTTTTGAGGGTGTCTTTTGTAATTATTAAAACTATAGATTAATTTTGAAAAATATTAAATTTCAGCGGTCTACCAATCGACGAATTTGATGTGTGCTAGTTAAAAATTTTGAAAATTTAGAGTTTTTTTTACGATTTTTAAATTTTGAAGGAGTTTTTTAAAAATTTTGAGGTTAATTTTGGCAAATTTTAATTTTTAGGTGTCTAAGAGTAATATCTTGAATTCATCTTATGTTATTTACAAATTTTAGAATTTTAGGGTGGTTTTTTATAATTTGAACTTTTGAAGGTGTTTCTATAATTTTTGAGATATTGAGGGTGTTAATTAAAAAATTTAAATTTAAATATCAAAAATTTTAGGTGTATCATGATAATCTCTTGAATTCATCTGTGTTGTTTGTAAGTTTTAAAATTTTAGAATTTTAATGTGCTTGTCTGTAATTTAAACTTTTGAGGGTGTTTCTATAATTTTTGAGACATTGAGGTGTTAACTGTAAATTTTAAATTCTTTGCAAACTGATGTTAATTTTTTAATTTCATGTTTTTTATTTTAAGTTTTGAGACATTTGGATGAGTTTTATAATTTTGAACTTTTCAGGGTCTTTTCTGCAGTTTTAAAACTTTTTATGGTTTTTTTGCAATACTTCATGTATTATAATATGTTATCTACTTGTAATTTCTTTATCTTAACAAACTAATATCATTTTTATGTTTTATATATTTTATTAATATTAGTTTTTTTAAATTGTTAAGCTAAACATGGTTCACATAGGATTAGGATAAGATATGATTATGATTAGGATAGATTAAGATATAAATAAAATATTCAAAATAGTGAAGGTAATATTGACCATTGAAAATTAGAATTTGATTATAGATAAGATAGTTCAAACTATAAAGGGGTATATTTGTCTAAAAAAAATTTCCGAACTCGTACTTTTAAAAAGAGTATGATATGATATGATATGATTATCTTGAGACTGTCGAGTTTACATCTCAATCAATTTGCCTTTTGATTGAAGCTTATTGTCCGAATCAAAGGTTGATGTTGGGTCAAATTGGGAACCCACCCGAAAACAACAAACGTGAGAGCACGCTCAAGTCGGCCAGACTGCAGGCCGGCCCAAGCGGAGCCCAAACAAGCCCCCGGCCCGTTTGCTTTTTCCTTCCGCGTTAGATCTAACGGTTCGTATTAACAAGACGGTATGATCCGACGGCGGTTAGATCCTCAACTTTACAAAGAAACTCCAAGTTTACGTAATTAATTGGTTATTTAGAATAAGCAATTAATTAAATAAGTTCGATGGAAGTATTTAAATAATAATAAATTAAAAGGGAGGAAAAAGAAAGGAAAAGCCAACAGCAGAGACTTCAACTCCAAGGCGGAAGAACGAAGACCTAGCAGCAGAGAAGAAAAAGATTCCATTTTTATTTTCCTTTTCCAGTGCGATTCTGAGGTAATTTCCTGAAGTCTCGGTCTCAAATTCTTTAATTCGGTATTTATTCAAGGAAGCATCATCGTGTTTTGATCCTTACATGTTTGATAACTAGGAAAACCCTAAAAAAGTTGCTTCATTTATTGTAGTATTGATTCTAATTAGCGCTGTGTCTTTGAAATTTTTTGTTTGATCCTGTTGGTAGTAAGTGATTGGTTCAGATTAAACCCTAAATCCAGAACAATATGGTCCAAATGTGCTAAAATTTAAAGGTATCATGGAGTATTATTCAATATTGGCGATTAGTCTCTCTAAATTTTAGTATTATGGGTATTGATCAGCTTAGAGTGAAAATTCCCAACAATATAGCTCTCCTTAATCAAGCATGGAGGAGGCTTTGCCTTTTTAAATTTTTTTTTATAGCAATTCAATTGTTAGTTTCTTCTGTATTTGCATTTTTATGTCTTAATCGAGGTTAAGGAATTTATGACTCTCTTAAATAGATGTGTGCTGTAAAATTTTCTGATATTTTTTCTGTTTATTTGAAGGTTTAGGATTTGTTCTTCTTTGTTCTTTGGCACAAGGTTTGAGGTTTAAAGATGAGTGACAATATAATGGAGAAAGTTAACGCCTTTGGTGAACGCTTGAAGAATCAGATTAGTGGTTCAGAAGTTGGGCGAAAGATGACAGAAGGCATGAGCTCCATGAGTTTTAAGATGAAGGAGTTTTTTCAAGGTCAGAACCAAGCCGAAAAGATTGTTGAGGAGGCCACTGCTGAGACCTTGGAGGGGCCTGATTGGGCTACTAACCTTGAGATTTGTGACATGATCAACAGTGAAAAGATTAACAGTGTCGAATTGATCCGTGGCATCAAGAAACGAATAATGTTGAAGAATGCCAGGATCCAGTATCTGGCATTAGTTCTCCTTGAGACTTGTGTTAAAAACTGTGAAAAGGCTTTCTCTGAGGTTGCTTCTGAGAGAGTACTTGATGAGATGGTCAAATTGATAGATGATCCTCAAACTGTAGTGAATAATCGGAATAAGGCTCTTGTCCTGATTGAAGCGTGGGGAGAGTCAGGGAATGAACTCCGTTACTTGCCAGTCTATGAGGAGACATACAAGGTATTGGTGCCATCAAGAATTTCATATTACACACTGCATTAGAAAGCACTCCACGGGTTTGAACTATACTATGTTTGAAATATGAGTTCATCTAGCAAATTGCTTTTGATAACATATCAAATGACTAAATTTTGCGAGGAAGCTTTTGCCCACTCTTAACTTATTAGATAATTATAGGAACAGTCTGTGACTATTGTTAAAACTGCCATAATTAACCATTATCTGATGAGCATGCTTCTGTCATAAGGAAATACATATTGATCTCCTGTGTGCTTCTTCTTAGTTTAATAATAAGTCTTTTTTGTTTTGATTTTTTAGTGTGTTATATATTATGTATAGTTATCCATATATATGTTAACCTAATGTCTATAACATGTTTATCATCTATTTATTAGTTATTATAGGAACTTGGCAGCTTTAGTTTTTCCGATACTACCTCACAAAAAACTTGTACTATTTATCTAAAAGGAAAATATGTCTCTATCAAGGTTACCTGAAGGTATATTACTTCTGCAGAGCTTAAAATCTAGGGGCATACGCTTTCCTGGACGGGATGATGAGAGCTTGGCTCCAATATTTACTCCACCACGTTCAGTTTCAGAGACAGAATCATTTGCCAGCACAGGTAGGCAGGCTCATCATGATGTTCCAGTTCAGAGTTTTTCTGCTGAGCAAACAAAGGAAGCATTTGATGTTGCTCGGAACAGCATCGAACTTCTGTCAACTGTTCTATCCTCTTCTCCCCAGCAAGATGTATTACAGGTAACCTGGTAGTGTTCGTAAATTTTACAGCTATTCTGATTTTTTTCTGCCAAGTAAAAAGCTAAATTGATATGAAACAGTACCTTTCTTTTGCGTAATGCTGGTCAGCGTTTTATCTCGGTTTTTTCCCTTTGTTTCTTTATATTCTCTTTAAAATGGAAGAGAATAATTAACTCATTTTTTATTATGTTTTACATCTCAATCATTAATCCTTTAAACTGATCTGATGCTTGTTCTTTGTAATAAAGTGAGATATTCTTCGGAATAAAGGATTACTCCTAAGTTTTCTGTATTACATATTCTCCAATGCATATGTGGGCGTATACACAAGTCTATTTTCTTTGGTCAAAATTTCGATGAACCAGCAATCTGTGACTCTACGCTTTATTTGAGATGTTTGCAATGTTGTGCATCGATTGAACATTTGTAATTTCTACCTATTTTGTGATTAAGATTATTAGAAATACCCACTTCTAATGATGTTTAAGCTGACGGACCTTGATAGCAGTTAACATTATTGAGGTTTACTATATTTAACACAAGATAGTTCAGTATCTACTTTTTCTGGAATTCTGTAGAGTGTAGCTTCCCTGTCTTGTATATGTTACGGAGGCAAATGACAATCTTTTATGTACTCCATGGTATGTCACTGTTAATGATCATTTGTCGTGATGTTTAACGGGTGTCAAGTAGGAAGCTTCAGAATATAATATCGTATGTACTACCAAAAAAATGTAAAGCGCGTGCCTTGGAGAAATTTGAGTATTCTCAGCATGCAAAGCCAATCTTCCCACTTTTTAACATGCACAAGTTGTTTTGCCTGACACTACGTGACATCCAGAGTGTAAATTCTAGAGTAATTTGTTTGATTTCTTGCCACCTACTTGTTACTTATGATAGTTGAAGCTGCGTGCCATTGTTTGGTTGGATTGCAGTAGCAAGTATAACCTTGGAACTCACGTTTTTGTTCGATGGATTTTCTGTCATCTAGTGGGTCGGTGTACTTATTCTGGATCATGTTGAGTTTTCTAACAGAAGGAACCGAATGGCTGCAATTGCACTTTCTGTTGGAGTTGATTGTATCGGTTAACTTTATATTAGGGCGGACGGACACTAAGATGGAATAGGCCCGCTAATATTCCCAGTGTACCCGCTGCAATATGATGAGAGGCGATTCCTCCCGCAACAAAAGGATCAAAACCTTCCGCGCCCCACGCTGGACTTACAGATTGTACTTTTCCAGTTAGTCCATAAGGATCGGACACCCATATTCCAGGACCATATAAACCTGTTACATGAAATGCGCCAAAGCCAAAGCAAGCCACCCCTGAGAGAAATAAATGAATTCCAAAGATCTTAGGCGTTTTCCCGTACGTTCATCACAGAATATTTCTAGGTCCTAATACACCCAATGCCAGATGGCCGCCAAAAAGCACAAGCCAGAAAACACAATATGTGCCCCTGCTACGCCTTCATAACTCTCTTTGGATTGTCCCCTCATCATTTGGCACTTTATATTAGGCCATCTGATTACCTGTTTGGAAATTGATCAGTATGCTTTGGTTTGATTCTGATTAGCTCGTAGAGTGATAACTAGTCATTGCCGTGTTATCTTGTAGTTTTGTGTTTTCGGTTATCTCTTTTTATTGTTGATAGTTTTACAAAGAAAGTGACCTTTCATCTTATTTAAATTCTATGTTTTACAAATGTATAGAACAACACATGCATAGTACTGACACAGCAAATTCTAGAAAGTGCATATAGTACAACGGTCGAGTCTGTCCAGTGCAGCAGGACTTGTAGCAGAAGTTCCTTGCTACTAGTTCTTAATAAATTAATATGTCATGGAGATTCAACAAAACTCCTTTCTCTCCCTCTCCTTAATATTTTTTGCTTCTTGAATTATATCTTTCCTTTAAGGTGACTTGGAGTTTCTGATCCAGACCCAGTTTTAGGGAGCAGGTAATCTTGAATGTTAGCAGTTTACCTCTATCGAGGTCGTCTTTCTCCTGTATCTTCCTCCATAGGGATCATGAGATATATTGCACTTTTGAGGTCTTTTTCTAACTGTTTCAACTAGTGATTTGAAGGCTCTTTCTTATTTTCTTCATTGAATATGTTGTTTTATACACGTCGTTGAAATCATTCACTTAGTTTCTAAATTATCATGAGCATGGAGTAATTAGTAGATCGTTTGGTGATCATGAAATTTATCTTTTGTTGGTTAATAGTGAATTCCAATTGAAAATCTGACAACTGATCACTTTGCTCCTATGGTAAATAATTATAACTGACATCAATTGGAATATTGTCTAAAAGATGAAAGGTTAAAGGACCAAGCAAATGTCAGATCAAGATCTGAAGCATATCAACCCAATCTCAGCCCTGCCATATTTTGAATCTTCGCCCACTGGTGATTTTTGACCATTTGTCTTCAAGTATCGTGCCTGAGCCCTGACACAGCCAATATAAAATTACTCGATCTACTTTGGCTATGGGTGATTTTCATCTCAGATATAAACAAACCTAAAGCCAGTCTGATGGGATTTTTGTTAAGCTCAATCCAGATTTGACCCTCCATACAAACCTGTTTAAAGGGAGAATTAACATATACCCACATAGTTCTTTGGGAAATATCTAGAGTATAAAGGTCCTGAAATGGTTAGGCTTTGTGGTGTCATGGCTGCGAATTTTGTTTGGGAGTCTCTCTAATGCTGATTGTCCTTTTCTGTACTTGAAGTTTAACATCCTCAAGTCTAATATCTGAAAGTGTTGACAGGCTACAATATTGAATAGTTAAGGTGCTTCCATATAACTTGATGCCCTTGAGTGCCATATGAATGGAGATGCGTGGATTGAGTGATGTTGGTCTTGAGGCTGTATTCCCGGTTGGTACCTTACCCGCTTTTCATTGCCATTGGACGTGTCATGCCCATTGACACTGGTTATATAACTTATATTACCTTTTGGATATATGATGTGACCATACCCTCAGAAAAGTTTAGAAGGCTTCTTCAGTGACAATTTGTTGACAGAGCCTTGTTTTTGCTTGTGTTAACATATTAGGTAGCCAAATAATTTCTTATTGTTAACCTTGTCATGTGACTTGTAATACTTTTGATGATCCTATCATTTTAAAATCCTGCACTATCCATGTCTGTTGCATCCCCATTGCCAAGGTTTTAAAAATCGGATATTAGGGGAATATCGGATGGCCGAAATCCATTTCGGATTGCGGATATTGACGAAATATCAAGGATATGTAGAAGGTATCGGAGTGCCATCTCAAAAGATGCGCATGTAACATAACTTCCTAAAATGTAATCTAAACATACTTAATGAAATCCAAACATACAGCAATGTCAATCATATATGTTTAGCATCACTAACCATATAGAAAGTTACTTAGGGAAAAGTGCCTACTAGAATTTTGCTTAAAACTTCTTAGGGGTAGAGTTTTTGCTAAAAACATTAAAGAAGTTTTGCATAACTATATTTTTTTCGTGACAAGCCATATAAAAGGATATCGACCAACATATTGATCGATATATCGGCCATGCCGGGGATATACCCCCTAACAATGTCAAAAAATAGTAAAGGATATTGAGACCATATAGTTTAGTGGCAAGCCTTATAAAAGGTTATATTTTTCGGTATATTGGCTATATCGGCTATATCGGGGATATTTGAAACAATGCCCATAGTAAGTTACTCCATCCTGTGGCAGGCTAGACTTAATAGTAGTTGCACAAAATCTTCAGGGATATTATAGAAAAAGAGTCTCATGCTATCATTGCTTGTCTGTGTTGTATTGATCAAGGTGCCCATTATTGCTTTCACGCTTCTTACAGCATAGAAATGGTTTTGTTTCATGGGACAAATCTTGTATAGGATAGGATTTGTAGCAAGTCAACTCCAAAATCTCTAAGGATCTAAATTGCTTTATGTCTCATCATGTGAAAAGTCATCAAATGTGTATAGTATCTGCTGCTAGGGTACACACACTACAGAGTATCTAAGACTAAGAGGCATGGTACCTAACTGCCTTCACCCTTGCTATGCATTTGCATAAGTGATGTAACAAAATGTGGAGAGTTTTGTCGGTATAGTTTAGACATCCAGGCAATATATAGTGGGAGTGGTTTGAACTCCTTTATCCTGCAAAATAACTTTAAGGGGACTAAGCAACTACAGTACATCGGAAATCTTAACATAAAAGAAGTAAAAAGAGAGCACGGATCAATCATAAACTAGAAGGCTAAACTGCTCTATCCCCTTCTTCAGTTTCTAAAACAGATTGTTTTCAGTGAAGGAGTTTAGACTAGGTTCAAGGTTACCATTTTACTGAATTTTAGCCAAGAAAAAGAAGGAACAGTATGAGAAGTAGCAACAAATGTCATAATAACCGTTTGCCACCAGTTTAACATCTAGTAGCTTGCACTTTAGTAAATGTGTGGGATTACATGTAATTTTTCGACCAGGTTACCATCTAGCATTGAGCTTTTCTTATTTATGCCCCTGGAAGAACAGATATCCCCTTTCCAAATCATTTAGGTTTATTAATAGAATGAAGCTGATATGTGTGAATTTGTTATTTCAGGCCAGATCTGGATCAGAGTGCATCTAACACCTGTTGATTTCTTCTTCATCTTCATTGTATTTAAGTATAATTTTCTGCTGATGAATTCAATAGTATGTAATTAAATTTAAATGCAATCATTGATAAAATGCATTACATATTAGCTATAAACTGATGATAGACGCGCGACATTTTAAGTCATATACACCCTTCTGCAGTCAAATTCTTATTAGAGATTTATTATTTATTTATTTATTTATTATGTTTTAGCTCGTCAATTATGTGTTACTGTGTATTTGTATAAGCCTAAAATTTGGTACGCAGAGGCTAAACTTTACTCTGTCCCAACATCTCACTGGATTGCACTCAAGTACGATGCCTTTCTTCCGTAGACATCATTTAAATGACCAGCACTCTGTTAATGATAAAACTCTATGTTCTAGAGAAACCAGTTCTCTCAGCTTGAAGACATTTGACATTAGTTTTCTCCCAGATAAGATGTAAAATGATCAGTTTGAAAGTATATTCATGTTTTTAGAGTTATTTTCATAGAATGATTTTCCCTAACATGTTTATGAGTTCGCAAGACTTGAACTTTGAGTTGATACTGTTGAGGAAGTTTTGCACTAAATGGAATTGTGAGAGAAATTATTGAGGAAGACACCATTGAAGGATATGTATAGGGAACTGAATTGTTTTATTTGTAGTTGATTATGAGATAGGGTGTTGTGCCTAAAATAACTAGGAGGCAGAAGAGGATCCATTTCATCTTCCTTTCCAAGGGAAAGATATAGCTGTCCAGAAGGCACTTTTTTCACATGTAATATTCCCATATTTTCCAGTGCCAGTTAGCAGATGGTATAAAGTGTGACAGAGAACTATACAATATTTATTTGCAACTGAAAAAGGATGTTTAAGTGCAAAATCTTTGAAATTTATTATTGAAATGTCCTTAGCTGTACATACATTTAAATAAACAAATGTATGAGCCACGTGTAGAAAGTTAGAAATTCTTAATCCGGTACTTCAAAGTTCAAACCATGTAATTGTTCATCCATTCCTACATGCTTGTATCATGCACGCGCCCGCATACCGCACTTGAGGTAGGTAAACTGTTCATTTTCATTTTGCAAATTGGAATTAAACTGCACAAGGAAATATAAGAATACATAAGGATTTTAACTCCCATAAATACATACACAACCAAAGTTAAAAAAAAAGGTGATACGAAAAGCAAGGTCTTGCTTATATGTTAACTGTCCAGAAGTGTTATCAGTTGTAGTTGAAGGGGACAATTAAGTTTAGTCTTCCTCAATTTGTATCTTCTTTATTAAAGGGGCCTGATTTTATGCCACGAAATGAAATGAATCAAATCCTCTTTGTGCAGGATGACTTAACAACTACCCTAGTTCAGCAATGCCAACAATGTCAATACACCATCCAGAGACTCATAGAAACTGGAGGAGACAACGAGGCTGTACTCTTCGAAGCACTGAACGTGAACGATGAGCTTCAAAAAGTAATTTCCAAGTATGAAGAGTTAAAGAAACCTCCTGTTGTACAATCGGAGCCAGAACCTGCCATGATTCCTGTAGCTGTGGAGCCTGAAGATTCTCCTCGGTTTAGCAAAGAGGATGCCCTCGTTAGAAAGCCGGCAGGTTCTCGTGCTAGAACAGGGGAAGATGATGACATGATGAATGATCTCGACGAGATGATCTTTGGTGATAAAGGAGGGAGGTCGTCGGAGGATCAGGATCCAAGAAAGAAGCAACAGAAGGATGACCTGATCTCCTTCTGAGATGCTATACATAGTGTTTACTGTCATTCTAATATCAGCTCTACAATTTCTTTAACTTTAAGTTAAAACTGGTGTTAAATGATTGGAACCAAAACATGAACTTGTGTTCATTTGTTTATAAGATACGAATGCTTGTGGGCAACAACTAGACTTGGATTGTTGAAGTTAGTAATGGATTTTATATATTATGTATCAGGGCAGCAATTCATAATATATTATGCGTGCGCTATGTGATTGGATTTCCCTTTACCTTATATTTTCTAGTGAGCAAGGATAAAATCATAAAATGTGGCGCATAAAGTCTTTAGGGGGTTTAGCGGCTTCTGTTGAACAATCTAGTTTGGAGTAAATAATATTTAAGAAATTATTATGAACTTGGATTATTTTTAAAATTCAATCATAATATTTTCTATCTGTGATGGTTTCTTAAAATTTAGTCAAATCAACCGATTTAAAATACACATGGATCAAGATCATAATATTGAATAGACTCAAAATTTCCAGCTTTCTCTTATTATTGTAAGCGTATTGTTGTATTGGTGACAATCAAGATAAGCAGTCAGCAGGGAGAGGAAAGAGTCTAAGAAAACAACGCGATCCTTGCTTCAGCATGATACGGTTGATAATAAAAGGCCTACTCCAATTTCTGAGTTTCATTCTTTTCATAACCACGTGGAAAAGACTAAAACTAGCATTTCGCTGTCATTTAGCCTATTCAAGAAAATATACCGCCTCTCGAAAATGTTTGGACAATCGTGCTATTTCTGAATATTTCCTAGCACACAACAAACGGGAACGCAACTTCCAACAGTAAGTCTTTCTCGTGGCGCTTTTCCTAATTGGGGATTATGGTGAAAATTAATAAGGGTTAAAATCATGGCAATATCTTTGGAAGTAGGGTTATATAATAAATCTAGTTATAGGAATATGGTTCCCAAGTGGGAACACCAATCACATATGCTATGAATAAAAGCGAGAATATAAATTTATAACACTTGTAAGGGTTTGATGGTTATAAGGTGACGATATATTTTGAAAAATGAGCTATCAAGATATAGAATGGTGAGACTCATGTTTTTAATGTGACTAGCAATGTGAGGACTGCCACATGACTATCTTTTAGTGGATTATTTAACAAAACGAACAGCCACTTCATATTTATTTATAATTTAAAATAAGATGCCTCTTACAATTAGTGTTTGACTCTAATTAGGAGAAGAACTTTCCCCCCATTTGTTATTAGAGATATTATAAAATTATCCTTTGACGAGGAGAACGATAATCTCACTACAATTTTTTTTTGTTTTTACTATTTTTGTACTATTGATAACAAAAGTATATATTCTTTTTTGAAAATTGTTTAAAAAAATGTGAAGCACCATGAATGTCATTCTTCTTCTGTTTGTAATAGGGTTATCACTAAACATTTTTTTATAAATAGTTACATGAATTATTTTATTCAATCCCATGTTTCTAGATGATTTAATTTAAAATGGTCATTTTAGTTCTAATTGGTAAAGAGTGGAGTCAGTATGATGGAAGAGACAAAAAAAAAAGTAATGGTAACCGCTCAATTTAAGGCTGAGAGATAGGATATTCTTGTAGTATTATCTACGCGGTTACGCGAGATGTCTAAATTTAACCACAAAATTAGATGATGAAAAATTTGAGAAAAGTTGAAAATGATAGCTGGCACCAACTCGTTTCTGTTGACCTAGTAATAGTACTCTAGGATTGGTGGTAGTAAATTAGTAATAATCAAATGAAACATCCTCTCCCCTTCTCACTCTTACGCAAAATTAATGTTGATAATAATAGGTCCCAACTGCTTTCATATAGTCTAGCACATGCAAATGGGAAAAATCCTCTGTAAAAATTAGTGAGGATTAGGGGAGATTAGAGTGAATGTATGAGTTTATATCCTTTCACCTGTTCACTAGTAACGCAATTGGTTGACTAGGGCCGGTTCGTTTGCCTAAAAAAAAGGGAAATCAAAGAAATGGAAAACTATTAAAATGAAGAATTGTTTTTGGAGTGTTTGGTTGGCTAAAAAAGAAGGAAATCAAAGAAATGGAGATGAAATAATGTTAGTTGTCACATTATTATTGGATGGTGTGAGTGATTTTTTAAGAAAACTAGTTTTGATGTTGTTCGGTTGGCGAAAAAAATAAGGAAATGAATTATGAGAAACCTATTTCCTGTAGTTTGTTGTTTTCTTTTGTTCGGTTCATTCTAAAAAATAAGAAATGAAATGAGATGAGATGAGTTGTCATTGTATTATTGGGTGATGTGATCCAAGATTAAGAAAAGTGTTTTCACAACTTTTTGGGATGAAAACAAAGAAATGAAATGTTAATGAGATGAGGTGAATTGTTATAATATTTTATTGGATGATGTGAGCGATTTGAAATGATGAGAAGAGATGAGTTGAGTGATGTTTGGATGAAAATAATATTTTATTAGATGTGATGGATGAGTTGTTAGATAAAAATAATATTTTATTAAATGCGATGGATGAGTGGTTAGATGAAAATAATATTTTATTAGATGATGTGGATGAGTTGTTGGATGAAAAGAATATTTTATTAGATGTTGTGGGTGAGTTTTAGGGATGAAAAATGGAGGAAATAGAACTTTTTGAGATTTTCACATTTTCCATTTCCATTTCTTGGTTTTTAGAAAACAAACGAACATGCCCTAAACTTATGGTCTATTTTTTTAGGTTCGTGCACATTGTATATTACTTAATAATTGTTTATACTAGTTTTTTTTGGAAAAATATCTCAAGGCCCCCCAAAAATTAAATGGTTGTGACCAGGCCCCCCGTATTATTTTTTGTGTGGCAAAGCCTCTAATACATGAAATAATTATGTTTCAGACCCTATTTACCTTTCCAAGACAGTACAGAGAGAAACTATTTACCTAAACCCTAAAATACCCTTGTCTGCCCTCTCTCTCTTCTCTCTTCTCACGCTCAAAACTCCTCAAATCTTCGTCATCTCGAGAACTCAAATTCGAAACCCTAGTTTTAACTCAAACGTCTAGTAAATCCATCAAAAAAAAGTCTAAAACCCTAATGTGGAGAAGGAATACACCCCCTCCCCCCCGAAAGTCCTCACCAACAATAACCCCTTTTCTCAAAAAAATTCTCTAATTTTTGAATTTTGATTCAAATTTCCTTCTCAAAATCGACAATGAGGGGTTCGAAGATGACGTTGAGTCTAATATCGGGATGGTTCCGCCGACAACTGGCAAAGGTGAAGGCGTTCCTCGGCGTTGCCGTCGGAATCGCCGTCCTCGTCTTCATCTGATCCATCATCGGAGACTACAACAACTTCTTCGTCGCCGCCAGATAGTCACGCCGCCGGAATCTTGCTTCTCATTTATATGCTCACAAAGGAGAAGACTTGAGCTGGTTTGCTTTAATTTTGATTTGGTTTCATTTGGTTAAGGATTACGATTTCAACATGAATAAAAAATTAAAGGATTTTTTATGTTACTATTCTGAAAATTTTTGATGCCACCAAGAATTAAACGCGCGAAAAGGGGTTGATATCAATAAGGATTAATTCTATGCATGTGAAGTATCCCAATTAGATAATTATCAGTTTTGATGAGAAACTTGTTTAGCATTCCTTAGAATTTGTAATGCTAACTATTGGTGGCTTGAGCAAGTCACGTTTTCTATATAATGTACATTACTATCTCCAACTTTAGATCTTAATTCTATCCCCATGTGAAGGAAATTTTCGGGTCTTGTCGTTGGAGAAGTTGGAGGCCGATGGTTGTTCAAACTATGTCTAAATTTGTATATCAATATTTGGTTGGACGTTGAAGCCATCTCTTACGAGCAACAGTCTGGAATGTTAGTATTTCATAAATTTAATCTTTTCATTTTATACGGCATCATATATCTAACTAGCTTGCTACTTTATATCATGTAGTTTTGATTGTGGAATTTTCGTTCCCTTATATATGAAGGCTATAATCCGTGGGGTTGATACGATTCAAGTAACTATTGCCGATAGTGAGTCTGATGTCATCTGTGTCAGGCTTGCAGCTAAACTTCTAATAGAAGGATGAGAACAGAAGAAGCAAGAAGAGACATTAGATAAGGATGGGAGAAAGTTATTCTAAAAGTTGATTGATTGAACAGATAAGGATGGGAACAAAACTTGTGTGCATGTTTATATTGTGTATATTAATTTAGTTATGTAAATAGTTGGTGTGGATGACAAACTACGTAGTAAGCTTGACCTTTCTTGTTGTTATTATATTTTTAATATTTTTTCCACCATATATCTATGTCTTGTTTTGATACAACATATATTTAACAGGTTCAAATAAAAAAAAATTACATGTTCACCTGAATGTCAGTAGGAAAAACCAATACTTAACATGTACGTCCAACAAGTTAATATATTCTACTAAAAGTTAACATGTTATGAAGAAAGTTAACATAAGAACGTTATCGTATTCAGCTGAAAGTTAACATGTTCAGATGAAAGTTATCATGTACAACTTAGAGATATTTTAGAACCGAGATAATTAACAGGAAACAGAATACCTCAGCTAAATAAATACATTACATGAAACATCTTATATTCTTGCAGCTGATGTTGTTTGAATACACAATATGATTAGTCTTAAAACTTAACAGATTGCAAAAGTCTTCAACAATATCAACTTTTTAGCAGCATATTATCATTTCGTTTTCCCTTCTGGCATTATCATCATCATAAATCAAAGTTTTGTCTTGATACAAAATATATTCACCCGAAAGTTAATATATAAAGATCAAAGTTAGCCATGTTCAGCTGAAAGTTAACTTGTTTAAGTGAAAGTTAACATGATTATTTTTAACCTCAACATGTTCGGCTGTAAATTAACATATACAGTGAACGTTAACATCTTCAGCTGAGAGTTAACATATTCTAGTGAAAGTTAACATAATCATGTTAAAGTTAACATTTTCTACTAAACGTTAACATGTACTGCTAAAAGTTAACATGTACAGTTGAGAGTTAATGTGTTCAGGTGAAAGTTAACATGATCATGTTAAAGTTAACATTTTTGTCTGACGGTTAACATTTTTAGCACTTACTTTTTCATCTGAAAGTTATTATAGTACTAAGATAATTAACACTATACATAAACATAATACCTTAGCTAAACAAGTACATTACACAAAACTTTTTACACTCTTACAGCTGATATTACTTGAAATAGACAATATG